TGTGTGTGTGTGTGTGTGTGTGTGTGTGTGTGTGTGTGTGTGACAGAGGTGGCCTTCACCTGCATGTGGAAATAAGGCAATTCACTGAGGAGAGGAGTAAGGCCCAGTGCCTTTGTAAGTGCTATTTGAAGATGTAATGCTATCATTTTTGTTGTTAATGGAGTGACCTATACGGTGCCAGAGAAGCTGACTGGTGCCCTGTCTGTCTGAAGTCTGTGAGCAAAGGCCGATGAAAACAAAGATGTATTGCGAGGTGGGTGAAAGAGAAGAAAAGAACTCACACAAAAGATGTACAGAACAGAGAATACCTTTACAGAAACAGTCAGGGTACCTACATGATCAGCAGATACTGAGAATGCTTGGCCATACCCAAGCACATGGCCAAGCAGATAACCAGATCCAGGATCAGTAGCAGCAAATAAATCAGCCATCTACAAGACATGAAAAATAAGCATTTTATTTACAGATGGCATATTTCATGCAAATTTACAAGCACCAGGAAGTACTGGCTGAACATATGTCTGCAACAGTATTCGTGAGAGCTTTGTGTAGTTTATCAGCATTCATGTCGCATAGTTACAGCCCATCTGTTTCAGGTAATTTCCGGCTTGTTGGTTTAATAATTCAACACCAGAAATCTATATACATTAATTTTTAATTTTCCTTTGAAAATGTCCTTCACAGGAATAGAATAGCCAATGTTTGTGTGTGCGTTTGTGTGGTCTGACCAGCCAAACACAGAAAAATTACTATGACTATTTGTTAGCTCCACAATTCCAGCATACTGGAAAAAAAATCTATAATTTCCAAGAATTAGACATCATGGTCTTTTAGCGGCATTGTGTTGAACACGATTACTCTTAAAACGGCCATTAGAAATACAATGACAAGATCCTCAAGGTGACACAATATACTCTCCCAGCCCTTTCTACAGTTTGACTTATGACCAACCATAATTAGTAGGGTTTCTAGTTCAAGTAAGTGTTGGGATATTTCAGTCTGAAAGTTAATGAGTTCACAAAACCGTCACTTTGATCATAACTGTGAATATTTTGTCTTTTTGTTGTCTTGAATAATGACATTTGCCGTTTGCACTGACAAAACAGGAGTCCAAGCTCACAATCCAATAGCTGCATGACACTCGATTATGACCCAGAAGATTGGTGTCAAGTATCTGCAGTCTAAAAGAAGATGTGGTAACAGGACACAAAGAACGAGTATTGGAGTATGGATGCATGCAATTAATGGAAGGGATATTATGTCTCTACCGGTGGTACAATGGCAGCTATGTTTGAACTTTTTCAAATGTCATGAATAACAGACATCAATACTGTAGCTGATATAAAGGAGTAGATGAAAATACAGAAACATGTACATCCCATTCAAAGGGAATTCCATAACCTATACACATATTTAACAAAAAAGAATAATTATCTTATCTTATCACTCAAGTTAAAATAGATGAAAGAGTTATTAAGGTGTTCAAACACATAGAATGATGTTTTTATATAAGACAGTTATTACAGAGGAGTTCAACTGCATCAAAAACCTTTAGTATGTGGCACAAACACCCAAATCTTCTGTAAACAAACTGAATATAGAAATGCATCCGATACTGTCTAAAACTACCTACTGTGTACATAACTATGGGCTAGGTGACTCAAACAGCTTTCCACAGAGACGGAGAAATGAGCCTGAAATAAATGGTGCTTTTAACTACCTTGGTGCACTCGGCTACATATGCAGGAGGAATGCATATATTCACAACTTTAGGGAAAGTGATTTAATTTAACTGTGTATACTGAAGCACTTGTAAGAAATGTTTGCAATAAAATACCTCCATAATGTACAATTTATTTTTTTTTTACCTTCATCAGCATAAGTAGTATAATCTTTCATTTTTTTCACCTTTCATCCAGCATTTACTGGCTGGTGTATTGGAAAACATGTTGGACTATTAACATAAACACCTAAACAACCTACTTCTGGCATGCAAGCTGGGAGAAAATAGTCTGAGTATTTCAAATAACCACTCATTATAACAAAAGATATGCATGAGAGCATCTCTGAACACACAACATGGTGTGGTCTTCTGCAACAGCAAGTCCACAATGAAAGGCAGGAACTGAGTTTATAATTTGCATGAGCTCACTAAAATTGGACAACAGATTATTGGAGTTGCTACCTGACTGGATGAGTCTTGATTTCTGCTATAACATCTGGATGATAGGGTCAGAAGTTGATGTTGGTAGTAAGAAAACACGGAGTCATCCTGCTCTATATCAACAATTTAGGTTGGTTCTAATTTTCTTGGCATACTTTCAGCTCCACAGTCAGGGCGGTCTGAGTATTTCAAATAACTACTCATTATACCACAGATATGCAGAAGAGTATCTCTGAACACACTGAACACAGTTGCATTAGCTCAATAAAATTATCCGAATGTTGCAATTTTACTGCAACATTCACATGGCAGGGTCAAATTTTATGTAAATAATAAAGCATATCAATGGGATGGCTACAGGTTGAAGACATGAAGCTATTCTGTATCTATAGTTATGTGAAAGAAAAGCAAGTCACCAGGTCTCAGCCCAATAAAGCACCTCTGGAACTCTTGTGGAACCGGAGCTTCACATCGTGGATGTGCAACAAAATCTCTGAGGAATGTTTCCAGCACCTTACTGATTATATGATACAAATAATTAAAGCAGTTCTGAAGGCAAAAGGGTGTCAACCTGGTACTAGTAAGGTGTGATGAAGTAGCTGGTGAGCGTATTCTATCAGCTGAACCTATAAACAGCACTTTAGTTAACATCTAAGATGACAATTATATTGTATGATCCCCCACACTGACACAAGATAAACCCTAGCTCCTGAGTGGCATTAGGCAAGTGTGACTCAGGAGCCTCTCGTGTCACTAATAAATGAATTCCTACAGCTGAAGCTACCACATCACCCTGAAGGAACATATTTTCATCGATTCAAATCTACGCTTAAAATAAAGTGGGCAACAGGCTTGCTGGAAACCTTAGTGCACAGCATGATCTGTCTTTAAAGTCTTATGCACTTAAATATAAAAAGAATCAACAGAAGATCATAAGAATTGATTCACAGTTTGATACAGCAGCATTTTAAGCTTTCTAAATTAGCCTCTACTAACAACTGAATATTTTTTTATTCATTTGGAATAATTTATTACTGATTGAGTTTAATATTTTTTCTCTGTTTTCTGATTTGATTCTTTTTATCCCTTTTAACATTTTGAAATGAACACATTTCTTAAAAAGAAAACAGCATCAGTATTATAACTGGAATGAATGTGAGCACAAGTCTGCAGGTAAGGAGCTCATTAACAGTGTAATAGTCACTCTGCCACGTATAACGTTTTATGAGAGCAATTCATATTAGAGTTGAACCCGCACAGTGGGGGGAAAAGCTCAATTTCAGCTTTCATTTATTTAGCAATTAGGAAAAATAGCTTTTCCGGTCTGTGTTCCGGATGGGAGATCAATAAAATCCCATCTGCTGTGCCTGTTCTGGATCACTTACAGTCCCATTCTGAGCAGTGCATTTACTTCATTCACATGCAGATCAAAAAAAAAAGAAAAAAAAAGAAAAAAGTGTACTACCCAGGGGATGTATTAAGGCACCACCTACCTGTAATACTCAATGAAGGCTGTCTGGTCTGCAATGGCTGCCAAGTCGAAATTGGTTTTGTTGATGTCTGGAAGAACCGTCAGCTCACGGATGACATTGTTGACCATCAGCTGCATAAAACGTAAAGCTTGGAGGTAGTCAGGCCTCGTAGAAAAGATCTCATCCAGGCGTTCCAGGTGCTGTTTGAGTGCAGTTTCCACATTGCCCAGTGAGCCTGCAACCTAAAAAAACAAAAAGCAAAGAGAAATAAAAAACATAAAAGAATGAATAGAAGACCACGAGGACAAAATAAAAAGGCAAAGGGGGTCAAAAGAAGTAAAAGAGAAAATAGGGTCAGAATGAAACAGGAATATAAACTCATAAACAAATATTCTTTTTAAAAGCTGATTGAAAATATAGAGAAAGGTGAAAGAAACAAAGAAGCACTCACTCGAGAAAAGATTAACTTTTCTCCTCAACCATGTGTTTTATTCAGATAAACAATGTTAGAGTAGAATACTGATAAGAAAACCGGGGAGACCTGTTATCACACAGGTCTTTGATAGTGAGAACAGAGTGGGTGGAAGCATGGTAGAAAAGAGCAAATACATTTTTCTTTTTTTATTTGAACAAGAAAAAAAACAAAAAAGAAATAAAAAAAAA